AAATTGTATAAGCATACTCTCCACTCCATTATCCAAGATTTTAAGGAAAATATTGACTAGTATCAGACCCTTGTGGGACCTCACTAGATATGCCTTCCCAGTTGGACAGCAAACTATTGATAACTACTGAGTACAGCTTTTCACCCAGTTGTGGACCCACCTTATAGTAATTTCATCTAGACCATATTTCCCTCTTTGCTTATTAGAGTGTCATGCGGAACTAAGTCAAAAGGCTTATTAAAATCAAGATATATCATGTCTACTGCTTCCCCACTATCCACTAGGCCAGTAACCCTCTCAACGAAGAAAATTCCTTATAATCCTCTACGTACTTATGAACTGATTGTTTAATCATTTGTTCCAGTATGTTTCCAGGTATCGAAGTTAGGCTGACTGGTCTGTAATTCCCAGGGTACTCTTTTTAAAGATAGGTACTATGCTTGCCCTTCTCCTAAGCCACACTTCACTTATGAGCATGTCATGTGAAACAGTGTCAAAAGCCTTACTAAAATCCAAGCTATAATGAGGGCTAGCAATAGACCACCGCTGATTACTTTCTTTGGATTGTTTTTACCTTCCATTGTTTTTTCCCTTTTCTTCCTGGGACTTTTGCTATGAACACAAATGACCTTCCTTCCCCGCATCCTCAGTCAGGACTGCTGGGCATAGTATTATCCCTTTAGGCTTCCGTGTATGGGGCATGGCCACTGACTGAAGGAGCAGCGTGCAGTGGCTCAGCTGGACAGCAATACTTGTGCTCTTTCTCTCTGTCCTCTTTCCGTCTTTCCTAACTCTTTAATTCCGCTGTTTATCCTCCCCTTTTGCCTCCAGATCGATAATATCCATGTCCACCCGGAAAAGGAATCCATAAAATCTTTGCCATAGAGAGTGACGGCCCCACTCAACCAAATTAGAAATATGTAGGATTTGGCAAACTACCACACTCTTCTTCTCCATTACGATGATGCTTGTGTGACAATAGATTGTCCTTTTTTACAGCTCCCACCTGTCTGAGTTGTACATTGACTGTCACAAGCCAGTGTTGGCAACGTCACAGTTTGCTACCATGACAGGCAACACTGTTTAGTGGCTTGAGTGCAGGTTTGGGAGTCAGAAGACTTTGGTTTTACTCCTGGTTCTGCCTCTGACTCCATTTGTGATCTTGGGCAAGTTACTTCACTTTTCTGCATGAAAAGGGATGATATTGCTTACTTACCTCAGTCAATCACCTTGAGAGTCCAGTGTTGCCAACCCCAAACATTAAAAATGATGCGTTATGCCCACCCCCCACATCATGAGATTTTAATTGATAGTAAATGTTGGCTTCTTTTAATTTGCCTTCTGGTTTTTGAGCCTTTTGAGTTCATTTGGCTCAAACTTCCCAGCTTTTCTCCATGTAGGCTAACCACTTATAAACATGAAAGCTAAGATTCTCCAGAAGCTGGGTCTGGAAGTAAAACAGCAAATATCACACAAGACATCATAAAATTATGTGAGCTGGCAACAGTGGCTCCACCCGTGCCGGGGGTGGAGGAGTGCAGAGTCTGACGGTGACTATTGTATTACCATGGAAGGGGGCACAACCACTTGACTGTGATAGTACAGGGGTAGGAAGAGGATTCTGACCATGAAATACAGACGGGCTCTTAATGTACAGTTTAGTAGTGATGCCAAAGGAGAGAGAGAGCTTAATGACAGTCTTGTTCTTTTTTTAAAAGAGTTTGCCTGAGTGTAATGGGGACTCCTTACTTTCCCCCATTCTGTTGCAATTGACCTTTTGCCTTTCTTTCCTGTCCTCTTGTTTCCCTTTTCTCTGCCCTTTATTTCTAGCAAGACTGAGGACTGGGGCTATCTCAATGAAGATGGAGAGCTCGGCTTGGCCTATCAGGGTCTAAAGCAAGTTGCCAGGTCAAATGCTTTTTTCTTCTTCCTCTTTCCTTTCCCCCACCTCTTCCATATGCTTATATGTACTCTCTCTGCCTCGCTGTCCTTTACAATAGGAATTGGAGATGGGGCTAACCCAAGCTGAACCACCATAACTTTGAGGGGGAGATGGAACCTTTCTAAGGTTTCGGGAAATTGTGGTCCTGAGCCAAACCTTGGCACTCACGCCCGTCTCTAGGAATACAGCAACCAACTCAAGTTTGGGTTGGGATGCAGTTCGGCAGCATTACTGCAAGCATGTATCACTGTGTCCCACACTAAAACTGTATCCATGAACCTGATTCCCAGAGGTGCTGGGAAACCTTACCCTATCCGTGGGTACTGCAAGTGCTCAGCACCTTTTTGGATTAGGCTGAATGTGCTTTAGAGATATTTATATTTGGTGGGGAGGAACAATGGTATTTTATGAACGAACTCCTGGCTCCATTGAAGTCAATGGCATAACTTCCACTGAATTCAGTGGAGTCAGGGTTTCGCCCCAAGTGTCATAATTATAGTCCCTTTAGCTCTGACTGCACTTCTCCTTATGTAAAAGTGTATTAAAGTGCTCTGTTCATGAACGTGTACAAAAGGATGCTAAGTCCCTTTTAAATGTAGTTTTCTTTGTCCTCTTTGCATTCTCAAATTCACCTGGATTACTCCTTTTCCACTTAATCCAATGTCTAGAAGTGTGCCAGAAGGAGAATTATTACTACCTCCGACACTCATTCCAATGCACTCCTGTTTTGTGGATGAATATATCAGAGGGAAACATTGTAGGTGATTCCTGCAATTTCAGTGTCCCCCGTGCAAGGACAGTGCATCTGTAATAACCTCTCCAAACTAATCACCTTTTAGGAGGATGAATAATGGTTAAAGTAGAATCTAGGAGTCCCAATTCCCAGTAGCCTATTCCCAATTCTGATACTATTTGGAGTGCTCAGAACTTCTGATAATTACATGCTAATCTTTCTACCATCTCACTTTATCCTTCTGTAATACAAGGATGATAATACTTATCTGCCTCACAGAGAGGTGCTGTGAGCCTCTCCATCAGTGTTTGTAAAGTGCAATCATGTGATGAAAAGCACTATCAGGGGGAAAGTAGTAGTAATATTTATTAAAATGTAGTGTCAATTTTAAAGCAATCAGAAGGTGGGCAGCAGCTCTTTCGAGAATAATATGAAAAATATGACAGGGATGATTGGCTGCCTACATTCCTCAGAACAGCAATTACAAGAGGACCATATTTGTCTGTGTGTTTGGTTCAGAACTAACCTGATCCCATATGAAACTGCATCATGAAAATACTTGTACTTTTCTGCATAGTGGAAGGTTTTGCACCTTCCAAGCCCAACACGATATTAACCTCTGACAATATGTCATTGAGGTCAGGTTCATTATTATCTCCATCTGACAGATATAAAGTGTGTGTGCGCATGCGCGTGCACGCCTACAAATGCAGAAAATGGGGAGTAGGTTGGACTCCGCTGAACAGAACAACTGAAAAGTTTTCAGCTAAAAATCAAAAAGACAACATTTTCCATGGAAAGCAGACATTTTGCACACACACAAAAAAAACTTTGGCTTGTTGAAAACCAAGTTTTCTGTTGAAGCACAATTTAGATAGAAAACCTTTTTGACTTGCCCTAATTAAGGCCCTGATTCAGCAAAGTACATAAGCATGTGCCTACATTTAAGCACAAGCATAGTTCTCTTGACTTTAGTGGGATGACTCATGTGCCAGACTTCATGCATGTGCTTAAGTACCTTGCTGAAGACCACACAGGAAATCAGTGGCAGAGACAGAGCTAAATCTTTGGACTTTGTAACTTTCAGTCTCTTGTTCAAACCATTCAGTCTTGCTGCAACCACTTTGCTAGCATTTGTAATCTTGTTTAGATCCTATTGGAATACTTAAAAGCACTAAGGGAGAGATTTCCATTTGGTACACTATAATTGGTACCCTTAAAAATAAATTAACTTGCCAAACATTGTTTATCGGTACACCCAGCAGTGCAGCCACATTCAGGAGGGCAGTAACCTTTACATGATGAATCGTTCTTCCATTTGAATTAGGAAGGTGTGTGGGAGGAAAAGGAGAGAGAAATGCGCAAAAATGGCTCATACGGTTCATTTTACCGAAAGTACAGCTTGTGCTTTAATTTATCGCGGCACAGAACTACATGCTGTGCATCCACATGGAATTCTTCTCCTTTTGTGATTAAAGGACCCCCTTCTCTCCCCCCCACCCCACCACAGTTTCAATTTTCCTTTGATGCACTTTCTAAGGGGTTTATTTAACTTGTTATTCTTCAAGATGACTTAGAAAAGAATAAAAAATAAATGGAAAATGGAAACTTCTTGCAGTCTTTCTGCCGTATCTGAGTCAGTGTGATATTTTCCACTGCAAAGGTTATAAAGCTAAGCCTACATCTTCAGACGTGACTAGTGGTTTGGGGCATCTCAGTGTTTGGGTGCAAAGCTGAAGCCAACTTAAAGCGGCTTGATTTCCTGAAACTGCTTCTCATCCACTGTCTGAAAATCAAGCTGCTTTAAGATGTTTCAGATTGGGCATCTAAAAATGGAAACACCTGAAATCACTGGTGTTTGTTTAAATCTAGGCTTAAGTCTTAACTAATTCATACTTGGCTGTTTTTTATCTAGTTATTTTAAAGTATCTTTAGATATTTGGGTTTCTCAGCAAAGGATGTACAGTACAGTAACTAAACACCTTACCGCTGCTTTGTAGGAGAAGTGTAACTTTCATGTAGCACACTGAGAGCTTGATCCAGTTCCCACTCAAGTGAATGGGAGTCCTTCAGTTAACTTCAGTGAGTGGTGGACCAGGGCCATAGCACCAAATTGTCTCCCTTCCCACAAAACTACACGAATCTTCGTAGCATTTTCCCATCACTTGAATCTAAACCACGACTGGGTGTCTTTCTGAAAGATATGCTAGAGCTCAAACAGAAGTCATGGGCTTGATGCAGAAGTTACTGGGGTACTTTGGCCGGTGTAATACAGAAGATCAGAATAGATTATCATAATGGTCCCTTCACTCCTCCTCTTATCAGGCTCCTGGAAGCCCAGCTTCAGGATCAGAGGAGAGAGCACGAAGAGGAGGTGGAAACGCTGAAAACCCAGATGGAAACCCTGAGAGAAGAGATGGAGAAACAGCAGCAGGCATTTTTCCAGACCCTACAGCTACCACCAGAGGCCCAGGTGGAATTTGGCATCCAGCAAGAAATCACACGTCTTACAAATGAAAATCTGGTAAGAGACCATGTAAAACCACTGTCCTTCATGACCTATGTTGTAAAAACAGATCAGTGGTTGATAGAGGTGAGATGGGAAGTACTCCCATCACACCCACCCTTATATATGAACACAACCAGCCAGCAGAGCTGCCTTCATATAAGCTATATGCACTAGTGGTCCCAAGCACTCCCAGTGGTGCTCCAACAACATAGTGGGCAATTGCTGTAGAACACTGAACCACTGGTTTATAAAGGTTGGATGGTGAGTAGAACTCATGCTGCATGGTGTAAAAGATCATATTTTGTGATATACCCAGTGACATTGTGCCATTCTCTGGACATAAGCAAAATGGCTTAAGGCCACAGTTTGGCCCTGTGCGCTTTAATATACATAGTAGGGAAGAATAACTCCCTCCACTAGCAGGAATAATGGCTGAAATGTTATGGTCCGTCTTATGCAGGAAATCAGACTAGATGATCATAGTTGTCCATTCTGGCCTTAAACCTCTGAATCTATTAACGTTATTTATAAGTAGGGCTACGGTTTTGTCACAGAAATCATGAATTTGAATAAAGTCTGTAACATCTTGGAAATGGCTGTAAAAACACATTTGATTAGGCCCCCAAACTGAGTGGCATGGTGACCTGGTGCACTGGGTCACAGCACCATTTGGGTTTGGCCCATCCGCCCCACCATCTCCATCTATGGAAGGGTGGATGGGTCATACCTGAGAGGCACTGCATCTCCATGTGCAACACCCAGAGCAGGGAATCGGGTCCCGTCCCATGTGTTAGGACCTGCTGCTGCAGGGTGAATGCAGGGTGGGCTTGCTTGCCAAATCTTCTCTTCCCCACAGTGCCTCACCTTTAGCACCCCCAATAGTCTTCTGTATGGTAATGTAGCAAAAACTACATTATTTGGTGACCTTTCTGTGACTTTTCATTCTTTTGCACACCTGTGCTGTGAAATTTTATTAAAAATTTGTGTGCCAAAAGCGTAGCCTTATTTATAAGCACTGGCATTTCCTGAGCCCGTGTGGGTGGGTAGATGCTGCTGCCTCACTCAAGAGAGTCTGTTTGGAGAACTTTATCATGTTCAAACAGATGAGTCAGAATCATTTACATATGAATAGCAGCCAGGAAATAAAGCCCTGAGGTGATAAACTATAAATCATTACCTACTGCATAATACTTCCAGGAGGAGTCAGGAACAGGAGACATGGGCTTATTTATGTGAACATGTAGACAGATGAAAGAATGATTTCCTCTTCAGCTGATGTTAAACAGTCATTCAGAGAGGAGACCCCATGAGACCAATTTGGGGGGCAACTGTAACTCATTCTTAATCCTCTGTGTTAGGGAAAAGTATGTCATACAGCAAAACAAAAATCTCTTGCTCGCTGTGTGAGGCGTTCAACTTTAATCCCTTGGCAGAGGTGCATCTCTTGCCTGCAATGACGGTAGCAGCAGCAAACCCTAGAGATAAAGGAGAAAAGCTTAGCCCTTATCCTGTTCCATTGAAGTCAGTGGCACTTATGCCATTGACTTGAATGGGAGCAGGATCCAGCCAAATGATTAATATATAGCATTTATGCTTATGCCTTGAAAACAAAACACCCCATCGTAACCCAGCACCATGAGCCTATCAGTCATTTAGTGGGTGATTAACTGTTTACATAGCCATCAAAGGGAGGGGACAAGCAGTATGGGGATATAGGATGTAGAATAACAAAGCCCAAGGCCTAGTCTACACTACAGAGTTAGGTTGACGTAAGGCAGCTTTTGTGGACTTAGTGTCTATACTAAAATGTCACTCCTGAGATGTAACTTGCCCGCTACACCAACTTAATAACTCCACCACTGTGAGAGGTGAAGCGCTTAGGCTGATGTAGCTAGGTCGATGTAGTGTCAGTGCTGGGTCCTGATCAGCCAGTGGGACAATTTTTTAAATACCCTTTTTCCTAATTTTCAGGATCTCAAAGAGTTACTAGAAAAACTAGAAAAGAATGAGAAGAAGCTGAAGAAACAGCTAAAGATTTACATGAAGAAGGTCCAGGATTTTGAAGGTAATTCTGGTTTTGTTACCTTCTCTGGGGAAATGGAATTCTGTTACTCTAGGCTCAGTCTAGGTCTCTGGGTTTTGTTCTGTGGCTTTATGTCGCCACCTCCAACACCACAGAGAAGCATGTAGGTGTCCAGGAGCGGCGCCAGGGTTTTTGGCGCCCTAGGTGGGGGTCCTTCCGGTCATCGTCGGCAATTCTGCGGCGGGGGGGTCCTTCCGCGCTCCCGGTTGTTGGGGCACTTCGGCGGCGGGTCCCGGAGCGAGTGAAGGACACGCCGCAGAATTGCCGCCGAAGACCCGGAGCACGGAAGGACCCCCCCGCCACCAAATTGCCGCCCCCCCAAATCCTGGTGCCCTAGGCGACCGCCTCGGTCGCCTAAATGGAAGCGCCGGCCCTGTAGGTGTCCCATGGACACCCCTAAGGATCACTGCACGTCATTCTCAGAAGCTTTTCCTCCCACTTCCAATACATGCCTGTCAGTTCTCTCCTATAGAAACAATGCGCATGACTCTCACTTCACTGTTCCTAACGGTATCTGGACCTTGATGTTCCTGCATTCAGTGTGTTTGTGGTCTGTTTTCTTGGAGGTGTTACCCTCATGGTCATATAATCATAACTTGGCACCTTAGTTGTGCTTGAATGTAAAACATGCACCTGCAAAATGGATAGCTGCTTGAGGCAATCAAAGCTTGTTTTCACCAGTACCCATTTTAAGTGAGCACTTACTTGTCTTGCACCTAAGCGTTTTTGGACATATCTCAGATTCCAAGTTCTGAACATTTGTCGCTTGAGCATTTGGTATGTCTCCTTTTGTTAAATTGTCTTGGGGACAGATTCATCCCTGGTGTAACTCTAGTGACTTCAACAGAGCCAGGCAAAACAAGTGACTTTGTTGGAAATAAGGAAATCTTAGGACCTGGCCTTGATTTGGGTCCTTTTCTCTTCTCCAGTGTATGCCAGGTCACAGTAATGCCCTGAATGCTCATGTCCGGAGAAATGTCAATTTAGGCCTATTGGTTGTATAACAGTTAGACCCCTTGCCTCATCTGAGAGAGAGAAGAGCTCTCCAGGCCTCCACAAGCTTCTAAATGCGTCTAGCAGGTTGAATCCCTTCATCCTGATGCCCTTATTCTTTTTTTCTCCTGAGGATTCCTGACCCATTGAACTTGCAGCCCTAGAGACTATGGAACAAGGAGTTTAAAGATCACAACCCATCACATTGCTGCTGTTATACTGGACTTTTTAAACATGCACCTGGAAGTGCATTTCTTTATGCCTCAAGAATCCCCTAGGGTGGTCTATCCATTTAATCCTTATTCTTCCCCTATAGCACTCTAGGGGCTTGTCTAGATGAACAGTGAGTGTGCAGCAAACGGTGGTGTAAATCTACAGTGTGCTGTACACTAACTGTCCATGTGGACCTTGCTGCTGCCCACTAGAAGTTCCCTAGTGTGCTGTGACATACTCTACTTTGAAGCGGGAGTATGTCAAAGAACACTAGGGAATTTATAGTGTGCAGTAGGAGGGTCTACATGGACAGTTAGTGCGCAGCTTGCTGGTGCACGGTAGATTTATACTCCACACACTAGGTGTTCATCTAGACAAGCCATTACATGTAGTTTAGGTTTCCTTGGCCATCCTTCTTTCATCTTTCAGGATGGGATTCCTTGGATTATCCTCTTATTGGTATGCAGGTTTTCTATAGTATTGAAGCATAACTAGGAAATAGCACCATCCTCTTCTGTAGTTCATCTTCCATATTTCAGATGTCTAACAATGAGTTTGCTTCCTATTCGTCCCCCAGCCCCTTCTTTGGGACCTTTGTTCAGTATTCTTAAGGCACTTTCTTCATTACTATTACACTGCCCGTTCAGCTACGTGTTTCAATGACATTCTTTCCTATGTATGCAGGCCTAGCCTAAAAAGGCATGCAGGCATTCAGGACCAGATACCAGCCCCCATATTCCATAGCAACATTTGGGATTTGGAGTTAGTGCTATGACCGTCACAAAAGTATTTGTCTAGTGCCATCGTCATAGACTTTTTTTAGGCTCTTTCTTCTTTGATCTCGTTCAGAATTATGTCTCTCTTTACTAAATGTAATTAAAAGTTAACACTTTTGTCAGATACTCCTCATCTTTTTTCTTTGTCATCCTACAAACTAGTCACCAGTTTCTTCTCCAAGTAATTTAGGAGTTCAATGCAGGTCATCGTATAAGTTTTCTTTCTCAAAGCTTCATTCTTCATGGAGGAGGCCTGGCTTCAGAGCAAGAGGGAGGAGTCAAACTTCTTGGCATGCGTATAATAGGCATAACAAATGGAGACTCTGTTCTGCAGCTGCCACAAAGCTCTCTGTTGCCCAGTGAGTCTCTGTGACCTCTCCAATTGTAATTCTTCTGTATTCTATTTTGGTACGATACTCTGGGCAGGGGATGAGCCCAGCAGCTTTCTATAGTGGAATAGCTGGACACAGGTGAAATGTATGCATTGCTCTTCAGATGGATGTGCACAAGAACTTCTGCTTCAGCTCCAATGGCCAAATTCTGTGTCATTCCACCTTACTGTATGGGTGAAGTCATTGAGTTCAATGGACTGAGATCTGGCCTGGTGTGAAAGAACAGAATTGGGTCCCACGTTTTTAACCTCCCCCACCCCACCCCAAGCCATGCTTAGGGCACTTTTGAACCTTAGTCTCAGTTACCGTTATGATAAAAAAAACTTCAGTCAGTCACCTCATCCATCCTCAATGTATGGTCCTAAACCAAAGGGTGGAGATAACTGGGAAGTTATTTCCCAAATTATGCTGAAATCTTTCAATTGTCTTCAGTGGACGTTGTCAGTCCCTGTATGGTCAACCTCTTCCAAAGATCCTGGATCTTGCCATCTCCCTTAATTTGTTGATGTGGATCATCTTAAACTTGATAAATCATCCACAGAATTGAGGCGAGAATGGATGTTCAGCTCTTACTAGAAGGCATTTACCTGACATATTTGGTACATGCTGTGGGATTTGAAACGGTCCTTTTAATGACTCTAAGTGGCCCTTGCTCTTTTAATGCAGTGTATTTTGTGGCCAACGTAGTGTTTCAAAAGGAAACTCCACCTACTGTTAAGTAATTCTGTTCTGTGACTGATATGGGGATTAAAGATATTTAGAAAGGTTGTTGAAAAATGCCCCAAGTTTGATGAGAAAATAATATGGGGACAAGATATCTATATGGCATAGAAACTATTTCTCTTCCTCACTGGATACAGTGATAAACTATGGTGCTCTGATTTTATGAACTGATTTCAGAAAACTAGACATTAAGTGAAATTAAGCTGAATAAACAGGGAATTTCACAGTAGCACAGCTGGTGCAGATGGCTTTTGTCACTGTAATTTACATGCATCCGACTGACATTTACCATTACTTGCATTAGGCCTTCATAATTTTCCATTTGATTAAAATTGTATGTAGGTACAATACTCAGCAGCGTGACGCGGTAGTTTTTAATTTTGCTCTGCATTCTGCGACAAGATATGTTGCTTACGCATATTTTCCCAAAGCCTGGCTTTTGTTAGTGTTAGTAATACGTTCATAAGATTCCAGTAAGGTCACCATCTTCTGAATATTGTCCAGCGAATCTTACATTTATTAAAGGAACTAATGTTTGTAGGTTTTTTAGGCCTTATCTTGCACCCTTTACTTTGTCAGTGAGAGTTCTGCCCAAATGAGGAGTTCAAGTTATGGTTCTGGTCCTTTATCTGTCTATCTAAAGCAGCTAATATTATAACAAACTCATGTCACACATTCACACAGGGGTGATCCAAAGGCCGTTAAAGTCAAAGGAAAGACACAAAGGACTTCAACAGACTTTGGATCAGACCTGTAATGCATAGTTATCATGGAAGTACCGCGCTCGGTGATTCATTCAGCCGTCTTCAAAGTTGTCTTTCTCGTCACAGCGACCCAAGCTACAGCACAGACAGAGAGGAGGCGACATGAGCTTACCAGGCAGGTCACTGTCCAACGGAAGGAAAAAGATTTCCAGGGAATGTTGGAATATTACAAGGAAGATGAGCCACTTCTCATCCGAAACCTCATTACAGGTCAGGAGCTTATTTGCCTCTCTTTCCATTTCCCTCTCCCGTTTCCTTCTAAACCATTAAACTATGAAATACTAACCCAATTTATTTTTGTATCACTCCAGGAGATAGATAGATATAGTGTGTGTGTGTGTGTGTGTGTGTGTGTGTGTATTTAACCATTCAAATGAGTTTGTTTGCTTTATTTCAAGGTATAACATAGTTTGATATTTATAAAACCTCTCTAAATTGAGCATATTAAAGGCATGTGGTACTCAGCTACCTAGCTAAGACCTTGATTCAGCAAACTATTTAAAAATGTGCTTAAGTGCTTTGCAGAATAAGAATGGATTTAAACTCGTGTTTAGGTGCTTTATTGAATAGGGCATAAATTCTCAGCTAGCTTTGACTTTTTTCCCCCTTAGATTAAATTGTCTGAAGTCCATAATTACAAAGAAAAGAATGGAACGTGTGTTTTACTGATTATAACTTCCTTTTTTCAGACTTAAAAATTTGTTTTCAGGTTAATAACAGTGGGGTTCTGTACCTGATTCTCCAATCATTCCTGGAAAGCAAGTGCTGGAATGTCTCATTCATTTAGTATTTTGTTAGAGTAAATGAGCACAGTTATTTCTGATGTGCACAGATATAGCACAGGGTAAGCAGTAAATAAACCAACTTTGAGTCCTCGCTTGGGTTTATATTCTATATTAATAGCTTCTGTTTTATGTTGGTATCTTATGTGTGCATGTCCTTGTAAGCAGGGGGAGGGTAAGGATAAGGATGGAGGTTCCTCCCACTTTGAATTTACAAATTTGAAGCTTCTCAATATAATTTGTAAAGGGAACCTGTGACTTTCATTTTATGAATCCAAAAATTAGAGGATAATACAGACTCAAGGAAAAGTGATTGTTCCAGAAGAGAGGATTTTTTTTCTCCAAATCAGTGAAGTAAATCTGGTGTCCTGGAGTTGGTAGCCCCTGTTTGAACCTCTTCAGTGCTGTGCCCCATATCTTCACACATCTAGCACACTTTTGGTACCATGCAAATAGTAGCATATTAGAAATGGGTTTGGCGGCACATAAATGCTGCTCCTCACTTGTGAAGAGTTCCATTATGTTTGAGAACGGGCGGCACGGACAGTGCCAGGGGAAATCTCTCAAACTGTTTCAAGAATTTTATAAAAACAAAGGGTTTTGGAGGGTTTTTGTTTTTGTTTTTTTAAATCATGTTGATTTCAGTGTTGGGAATAATCCCTTCAAACTGCCCAGCAAACCCCTGAGGGACTGGTAATTAGCCACACTTCTGATCGTCTTCCAACAAATAGTAACCAGCATCTGTGACACATGACTTGAGATTCCCCTGGCCCAGAAATCTGGAACTATTTCTAGGTGAAGCCCAGCACCATGTGTGTTTGCTTAGAACTGTGAGTGTCCAGAGGCCCCTGCGCGAGATGCTCAGAACCTTGCAGCATTGAGCCCCGAAAGAGAGAATGAAAAACAAGAGTAGTCAGTGCTTTGGTCAGATCAAGAACCTCCTTTATCCAACTCTCTCATATAAGCAGCCGTCCTCGTGTTTTCCCTTCCCACTTAGTAGTGTGCTTTCAATTCAGTGCTGTTTAGTGTTCTAAAACGGTATGGACAGAATTCATGCCTTCATAGGAAATTCATTGACTTCAATGGAGTTACACCAGTGACAAATTCACCTCCAATTTGTCTCATTCTTTTGTTGTCCTTAGATATAATTCTTACTCAAGGATGACAATGCATTGAAAATGCTAAAATGAAGCTGTAATTCCTTAAGTGGGCAATAATTGTCAACCTTACACCATGATGGGTTGACACATGGAAAAGGGATATTACAATATAGACCTTCAGCCTCTTGTAGGCCTGTGGAACAGAAACATTTTGTCATCTAAGCCATTCTGAGGTCTCTGCAATATGCAGCTTCTTGAGCGCTACTTATGCTGAAGGCTTTGGTTGGAGCCACTGCTGGCACATGCACCACCATCCAATACTCAGGTTTTTGTCACACTTGCCTCACTACGCATTAGTGTTTATGATTTATGTTATCACACCCGCGTATAATGAAACTCTACAAAAAGTAAATGAAGAATGGTACCAGATCACAGCAGTAACTTCTAAAGTTCCTCCTCTTCGGGCAATCCCTGCTTTCACATTAAATATTTAGTAAATTCCACCACGCGCTATCCTGATTCAGCATGTTGATGAAGAGTAGATTTAGTAGATGGTATTTCTGGAGTGGTTTCAGTACACGATAGCGGGGCAGCTTGTATGAAGCATTTTCAAGAAGTTCAGGAATTTCTCAGAGATGAGCTTAAGTTACAATGTTCAGAACTGATCTTTCCCAGATGTGTGAGATGTTGGTTTCCACACATCTCTACTGTTTCTGATTCTCCTGCTCAGCTAACAAAAGTTAGGTTGTAAGAAGACTCCCTTTTGTTTTGTTCCACTTCTAGATCTCAAACCGCAGACAGTTTCTGCCACAGTTCCATGTCTTCCTGCTTACATCCTCTACATGTGCATCAGGCATGCAGATTACATCAATGACGACCAGAAAGTGCACTCCTTACTCACCTCCACCATAAACGGCATTAAGAAAGTATTAAAGGTATGTCTTCTTTGTATTAAAATGAGGTCTGAGGCTGCATGTGATGTAACACTCTAGTTCTGAGGTTGAAATAGGTACCTAAAGATGTCTCATTTTATAGATTCAGATGGCAATCATGCAAATATTCAACAAACTCATGCCCCGAGTATAATATTGACATGATGATATTACCATTGATTATTGCTATTTGTTTTACTCTGGGATTTTCTTTTAAAGTCAACAAATAATAAAGATAATAAAACTGTCCCAGTACATGTGGGTTTTAAAAATCATCGAAGAGTTAGGGTACATCCAGACTACCTGCCGGATCGGCAGGTAGCGATTGATCTATCGGGGATCGATATATCACGTCTCGTCTAGACGCGATATATTGATCCCCGAACGCGCTCCCGTCGACTCTGGAACTCCACCAGGGCGAGCAGCAGTAGCGGAGTCAACAAGGGAGCCACGGCCGTCGATCCCGCGCCGTGAGAACAGGAGGTAAGTCAAAATAAGATACGTCGACTTCAGCTACGCTATTCCCATAGCTGAAGTTGCGTACCTTACCTCGACCCCTCCCCCACCCCACCCCCCAGTGTAGACCAGCCCTTAGATGTAAATTACTTTTCTACAGATAGGAGAGATGCTCAGTGAGTGAACCATCCATAGAACACAACTCATTCTGCTACTAGTCTCTTTTTTGGCTTCCTGACCTGCTAACTCATTGTTTTACTTCCCTTCTGGCTTTTGCTTCTTAAATCACCTGAACTGAGAACAGGGGAGGCTGGCTCTTTTATATACCTGTGCTATAACCTAATGTGCTGGTCACATATCGCTTTAATGTCCACGACACTCCAGCCGAAAATAGACTCTGATTTATAACCGTTTCTCCCCATCTCTTTCACCTAGGCCCTGCTTCATTTCAAGCAAAGACAAAGAATGAAATTTGTGCAGTGGGATGAATCATTAAAGATCCAGCACAAGCAGGGCCATCTCATCCTAATTAACGTTCAGTTCTTAGCCAAAGAATCTTCCAGGGTTTAGCTGCACTACAGTAAAGAACTACAAAAATGGAATTCTGAATTAGACGGAGTACTTCTGTCATGCTTTTCATTTCCAAATTGCTGTACTAACATGAATTGCTATTTCGCCTGCCTCGTAAGGGAGGTGGTTTTATTCCATTTTGTACATGGGAAAACAGAGGCAAAGAGAGGTGGTGATTTGCCTGATGGCAGCGAGTGCATCATTGTCAAAGTAGGATTGGAATTTAAAATTATTGGTGACTGTGCACGTGTTCAATCCACTAGGCCACACAGTGGTGCCTCTCAGCTTTTGTAGGTTAAGGAAGTTCTTTGTTAAACAGAATGCTCCGCACTCAGAGTGAGGACCTAGGGCACGTCAGATATAATACAGTAGCGATACAGGTTAAACTTATGCTAAATGCCACATCTCTTGATGTCTCACATAGCTATTAGACCATCAAATCCAGTGTCCTGTTTCTGTCAGTGGCCTATATCTCATGCTTCAGAGAATGGCAAAACAAACTAACACAATGCATCTAACCAAATGAACAGTGTCATACTTGTTGGTGGAGAATCCTTCCTAATCCATGCAGGTGATTTGTTTATGCCTTGAAGCATGTGATTTGATTAGCTAATCTTACTATATGGGCCACGTTCTGCTTTGTGCTGCACTGTTGCAAATTCAGAGCAACTTCAGTGACTCAAATGGAATTACTCTGGAGTTACACTGTTCTAATTAAGAGCAGAATTTAGTAGCAGCCATGGTAACAGAAGGTAACAGAGATTTCATGCAGGAATGAAAATAGCATGCCATTCATTGCATGTGTTGTACACAGGGTTATAGTTCTGCTATTAGGACAACCACCTTGTCCGAATAGACCAGCTTCAAATGCCAAAGAGGAATCTCACATGTTAATTTTGCTCTTCACAGAAACACAATGATGATTTTCAGATGACGTCATTTTGGTTGGCTAACACCTGTCGCCTCTTACATTGTCTAAAGCAGTACAGCGGGGATACGGTGAGACATTTATGTAAAGAACAGAGCTTCAGAAAAACGTTCACCCAGTTTTGAAATCTCTTGTTCATTCCACTTCAGTGCTCATCTCCAGGCACCCCATACCTGGGGTCAAACTAGGATGTTAAACTATCAATAATCATGCTGAAATGGTAAAAAGCTTTGAGAGATTCTTACAACAAGCGCCCGAGTCTCTGCTCACTGATTCTGGTGTCACTCAGGAGTGGCTCCTGTGAAGTTCGTAGAGGAATACTGGTGTAAAACATGTTTCAGTGGAATATCAGATCCTTAGTTTAAAACTGTTCCCTCTCGTTCTAGCAATGTTCAAAGGTCAAACTCACAATTAGCTGTTCTGTGATTGAAAAAGTCTTCTCTTGGGTCCAATACTGAGAGCTCTCCTCTTGACTTCAATGCAGTCAGTTTGCAGGATTGGGTCCTTCATTAAGATGATTTTTAAACAGAAAAAAATGGGTTTAAATCTTTTTTTCTGAAAGTTATTGCTTTTTCTTAAATTGTGCTCAATTAGTTCTGAACTTCTGAGGTGCACAAGATCAAAAACTACTAATCATAACAAAGTTTCTTCAGGGAGGAGGTAATCTCTTATACCAGTCTTCTTGATACAGTTTCACAGTTTTCACACCTGTTCAGTTTAGTGTCAATCAACTTTGATAATCTGTGGTCAAATCAGATTATTGCAGTTCTGGTAATATAAAAAATATTTATATGGTACCTGTCCACTGGGATGTTGACACTACTTTAGGAACAGCCATATACTATGGTACCAAAATTTGGAACATAGAGATGCTTGTGTAGTTTCCTTCTAATTCACTCTCGATTTGTGTTAAACATAGCCAGCCGTCACGCTTCAAAGGATACAGGCAAGAATATTTGTTTAGGCCCAACATTTCCTTGGAATCAAATTATCTGTCAAGTTTCTGTAGATTCTAATGTGGGAGACACTGCATAGCCAATAATTTGTATATAGTATGAAAGGAATTGTATGGGTAAGGCTTGGTCAGTAACAGTGGTTTGTGCTTCTGTATGCCCTCTGCTGTCTCTGTAGCAGTACTGCATTTAACAAAAACAACGAGGAGTCCTTGTGGCACCTTAGAGAATAACAAATTTATTTGGGCATAAGCTTTCGTGGGCTAGAACCCACTTCATCAGATGCATGGAGTGGAAAATACAGTAGCAGGTATAAATACACAGCACATGAAAAGATGGGAGTTGCCTTACCAAGAGGGAGGTCAGTCTAACGAGATAATTCAATTAACAGTAGGATACCAAGGGAGGAAAAATCACTTTTGTAGTGGTAATGAGAGTGGCCCATTTCAAACAGTTGACAAGAAGGTGTGAGTAACAGTAGGGGAAATTAGTATGGGGGAAATTAGGTTTTGTAATGACCCATCTACTCCCAGTCTTTATTCAGGCCTAATTTGATGGTGTCCAGTTTGCAAATTAATTCCAGTTCTGCAGGGGAATTCTCAAGTTGTTTATTAAAAGCAGAGCTGAAAACTTTGGGAGACACCTGCAAAAAATAAGGTTTTTTAGTGTATAATTCATAAGTTAACCAAGAGGTCAAAATATTTTATTATCATGCAAATATTTCCGTTCTTACAAAGAAGTTTTAACTTGAAGATTAAAATATGTGGCTCCTGGTGGTTCTAAATAAGTATGTGCTCATGATATAACAAATGGGTAGCCTAGTGTTTAATAGGGAACTGAAACAGTCATTTTCAATTCAATGGGAAACATGCTTTATCTTTTAACTAATTGGAATTCCTTTCCCCTTGCTGAAATTAAAATGAAGCTGATTACTTAATGATATTTCATTTTAAAAATTCTAATAACTTATGAATAAGCTGTTGAATAATCATAGGTGATTTTTGAGTCTTGATCTTTTTTTCAACTGTTAAGACCAAAATCTACAGTAGGTAGCATTCTAGAAACATTACACTTTCATTTACTTTTACAGGCCTTTATGCAGTGATGTCAGTGGACTGTATTAGGTGGAATAACAGAACGGGGGGGGGTGTTTGTCTCTCATTTTTGTTTTTAGGGTTTTATGACACAAAATACCGCTAAGCAGAATGAGCACTGTCTTAAGAATTTTGACCTCACGGAGTACCGGCAGGTTTTAAGTGACCTCTCCATTCAGATCTATCAGCAGCTCTTTAAGATAGCAGAAGGCATGTTGCAACCAATGATAGGTATGTTTGGGGTATTTATATTATGTGAAGGTGTATAGGAGACCTTTGCTCTGTGTTAGCAACACTTCTCCTCACCCAAACGAAAGCATGTGGTGGCATAAAACAGATAACAGTTTAAGAAATATATCCCTAGTGCTCTGGAGAAGGCCACTGTGGTCGGTGGCTTTATTTATAAAGTTCATGAATGAGACAGTGCTTGAACTGAAGGGAAAGTCAATGGGATTTTTCCCAGTGATGGAATAGTCTGTCTTCCTCCTCCTTTGTGGGAGCTGGTAGTGCCAAGAAGTGGAGCTATGACATTGTTTCTAATCCCACAGTCCTCCATTCCAGGCACTGACATGGATATGAAGTTTGTGTGCAACTGTAGGACCAAAAATCTCAGTCACTTTGTCCATCTTCCTGCCAGCGACGGACTGCTCCCTTCAACAATATATATTCTCTAGCTAGGAGATTTCCACCACTTCCCTTGGGAGACTGTTAGGAAATGTTTACACTATGTTCCTCTAAAACTGTTACCACACCCCTCATACCTATACCTGCTTGTACCGGGCTGTACCATCTCAGCGTGTGCAGCCTTCTGCTCCTTGGAGAGACGTGTCATATCCCTCCATTAATCGTTACTTAGCCAATGGATACAGATTTATTTCTTTTAATCTTCTTTCCCAGCCACTTAATCACTTTAACTGTAGACTTGATTAAGGCTACAGGTTGGGACTAAAAGGAGAGTTTATTATCGCTCTGGGCAGAGGTATTTGTAATTTTCACAGTATGTTAAGTGAGTTCTTCTCCTTAACATTAATTCCCAGGACTTTTCACCTTCAAATTACTTTATAGCTATTAACTAATTAATCTTCCCAACTGAAGTATGCCACCGAAGTAAGTACAGTAAGTTAAAGTTATCCCCATTTACAGAAGTTAATGACTCTCCCCAAGCCACAGAAGGAATCTGTGGCAGAGCTGGGATTAGAACCTGAGAGTTCCTGGATCCCAGTCGTTTCCTCATACCGTTAGGCCATAATATTGTCTTGTTTTGTAGAATGTAGCATATTAGCAACTACATAAAATTAACCACAGATTACAGGTAATCTAACAAATCATTCCTGGTGACTTGTAGGGAAATGTAGGCCTTGTCCCCATTCCTTCCTGAAATTTTCCCCCCAGTGTCTGCAATGTTGGAAAGTGAAAGCATCCAGGGTCTGTCAGGCGTGAAGCCAATGGGCTACAGGAACCGATCATCCAGCATGGTAGATGGTGACAACTCTTACAGCTTAGACGCAGTCATTCGCCAACTGAATACGTTTCACAGCATCATGTGTGACCAGGGCTTGGACCCGGAGATTATTCAGCAAGTCTTCAAGCAGCTCTTCTACATGATCAATGCAGTAACACTGAACAACCTCCTGCTGAGAAAAGATGTCTGTTCGTGGAGCACTGGTATGCAGCTCAGGTAGGACATTGGCTGAGACAGTGATGGGAAGGCACCTGCTTATGTACAGGCAACTTGTTAATTTGTACAGTGGGGGAGGTAGTAGACTAAATATTCCAGCAGAAATAAGGAGGGAATTTTATGGGATCAGCAAAGCTGTGTGAAATAAAACAGGGAATGCATCAGAAACCACAAGAGTCCAGGAATAAAAGCAGGCAGGAAGGAGCAGAATATAAAGTGAATTCCAATTGCAGCATAATTGCAACAGATTGTTTGCTTTGTGTTTCTGATTTAAATGCTCATTGCAGTACCCATCTGTACTGCAGTATCACAGACATTTCTAACGTGCCCACCATAGTAATATCTGAGGCTATTAGGTTCATGCAGACAGACCTGTGAGCCTGTGCGTATATCCCTGTTGACTTCAGATGGGCTCCATGCAGGCACAAGGATCTGTCCACGTGGATCTGATTACAGAATCAGATCCAGGTGCCTAGTATCTATCTTAATAGGTATTTAATTTGCTGTGATTATGGGAATTCCATTTAGTGCAACCGTACAAAATAGCAATGAAAATTTACCTGCCATGGCACAAACCTTCAACTGCTTTTTGTGATAAACATTAATGATGATTTAAAAACAAACTCCTAATGATATCTTGCTTGCATGCTGAGATCAGAAAGACTAGGACTGTGCTTGGGCACAGGAGTTTGGGGGAGGCACCTCGGGTCAGAGTTTCAACGGTATTTAGACTCCTAGTGGGATTTTTCAAAAGCACTTAAGCAGGTTAAGTAACTAACTCACATTGAGATCAATGGAAGTTAGATGCCTAACTTGCTTTTAGGTACTTTTCAAAACCACACCAGCCACCTAAATACCTTTGAAAATCTAGCTGCTTGTGCCCTTCTACCTTTACACAGCTAAATAAAATGTAGCCCGTAACTTTATTAATATTCTCCTGTGGTTTTGTGGAGTCCAGGAGTTTGTACTGGTTCTCAAGACCACTTAATCGGTACGTATCACACATCTGCATCAAAAACTCCACTCATTCCAGCAATGCAATGTTTCTTGAACTAGTAAATGAGCCCTCAGAAGGAAACTTTCAACTGACATCTTACTTGTGTGGGGCCAGGTATAACATAAGCCAGCTGGAGGAATGGTTGCGTGGGAAGAATTTGCAACAGAGTGGAGCAGCAGAGACAGTGGAACCCCTGATCCAGGCAGCACAACTGCTTCAGCTCAAAAAGAAAACTTCAGAAGATGCTGAGGCTATCTGTTCCTTATGTACATCCCTCTCTACGCAGCAGGTAAGGGACTGGAGGACATGTTTGCTATGAAACAGGTGCGAGTTCTTTCCCATGCATTACAGCAGTAAGGATGCTTTAGGACATGGTACTCCTCAAGTGTCACATGCTGGGTGGGACATACCCTTTTTGAGTAATTTTCTGGTCACATCCTGCCCTCCCAGCTGCTACTGCTGCCAAGAAACTAGCTGCCAAGCTCTCTAACTCTCCTGACAGGTAATCTCTACATTTGCTGTGCAGGGTAGGATCAGGATCCATGAGACACACATCTGTCAGCCGCCCCCACTTCAAATTCCTCTTCCTCCTTTAGTAGTGGCTTCAGGGCCCAGCGGTGACTTCCCTGGATGGTGATGCCACCTCCACCGCTTCCAGCTTTAGATAGGACCATCCCACCTGCTTCAGAAACATACGCAACTCAGGCAGCTACAATGGGAGAAAACACTTGTGGGGCGGTCCTCATAACTAACAGTTCTGCTGAATAGTGAGTGATACTTCTTTTAAATGCAATAGGTATTCTGTAAAACTGTAAGAAAACCATCCTGCTATTTTGAGCAGTTGGGGATGTCTCACGTAATAACAAGAATCCTCTACAAATCTGTAGCAGTGGTGCCTCAAAATTGATTTACTGTTGGCCTGTGGGCTGCCTTCCAGCTTTGCCTTTGGCAGATAATGAACAAACCATTTGCCGGTAAGTGTTACAGGCCTCCAGAATAAAAGCTCTGAGTTTCTTTTGGACCAGACTTCACAAGAACGTTACAAAGAAGTGTATTTAATGGGAAGGGAAGGAAAGAGGAGTAGAGCAGAAATCTATGCCTCTGGGACCCCTCATTACAGAACGGGAGAGAGAAAAGTTGAGATCTCCCATGTCATCCCTTCTGTGTACAGGCCAGTATCTTTCACTGCAGCGTGTAGATGTCAAGACACATACTACAACATGGAATATTCTTTTACAATATAGAATATTCTTTTAGGGACTGACATCTATAGCTGAGCTTTCAGATGATGTCATTGTTTTTCAGTCCTAGTAGATGAAAGCTTGTGCTGTCATATAGGTGTGGCAATTGGGCCGTAATCCATCATCTGTGCAGTCTCCCTCATACAATGAAACACTTGTATGCAAACTAGCTGTAGAATAAGGATGGCAATTGGTTGAGTAACCTCTGATATCACAATGGTCTAGGACTCGTGGCACGGTATAGATGCATGCCTTGCTGTCACATGGGTGTAATTAGTTAAGTCAAAATGGCTGAGAACGTAAAAATCAGACTGTAACAGACTGTGAATCCCAGTGATGATTTAGCCTGGTAATATTCTGAACAACAAGAGTTCTCAACCATGCTTGCAACTGTTTGCATTGCTTCACACTGACTCAGACATTCAGTATGACAATACTAGAATCATATTATATAGAACGTGTCACTGTTTTTGCTAGGGACGTCCGTAGACCATGAAAGCCAGAGTCCTACTCTGAGGAGCTTAAAGTATAAATCAGTGGTTCTGTCTTTGTGACCCAGCATCCACAAGCAGCTTCTTATCAAGGCCCACTCTATCCTAAAATATTGTGCTCAGAGCAAGAATTCATGAGTAGATTTTGAGGTGACAAAAGGTTGAGAACTGCTACTTCAGTGTACCAGTTGCTCATTGGGTCTGATCAGGCTTCCATTTAAATCAATGGCAAAACTCCTGTAGACTTCAGTGGAGCAGGTCCTTAATCTTCAATATTCAATTGTACACCCTTTTATCTGACAAACAGTGGAAGCGAGGAGTAGTGTGGGGTGCTGGGTGTTCTAATTCTCCCTCCACCACCGTCTGTGCAGCCTTTGGAATTAACACTTGTCCTCCACAGCAGCTGAGTGGAATGGGTGGGTGGGTGGAGGGGGTTGAGGGCCATGGATGAGGAGCTGCAGCAGGATTGGGCTAAAACCAGAAAGGGTGTGGCCGAAGTGGCAGCAGGAGCATGAAGGAGGGAGCAAGTTGCCTATCCAGAGTCTTCCTGGATCCTAATGCCCATGTGGTGCAACCTTTCAGGTGTCCCCATCACAAACCCACCAGTTGGCAAGTACTGTTCTAAAAGATGGACTTGACAGATACCTGAGGACATAACATGCACCAGGAAGGGAACAAGGGAGCACAAGAAATTCGAAATATGCTCGCGCCATTACTCAGGTTGCTCGCCCACAGGTGGTTTAATGACATTCAAAGATGAATGTTGTAGACACTCATCTCCTATTTTCTACGTACAAGTTTTCCTATTACTCTTCATTCAGTTCTGTTCAGCTTTCTTGAGATTCTAAGTATTTACACTAAGTTAAGATGGTTAGTTCACAACCTTCTCAAATGGCATGAAGAAGCACCCCCAGCGTTCCTCAATTTACATGCCTTAGCTGTCTCCTATATGGAGACTGATGCAAAATTCTACAAAAGTGACAACATCAAGAAACTGGGTAGCAGCGCTTCATGCCATTGAGAAGTTCAGCTGCTGCTGACCATCTAAAACCCTGTTGTTTTGTTTCCAACAGATTGTAAAAATATTAAATCTCTATACTCCTGTTAATGAGTTTGAAGAACGTGTGACAGTAGCCTTCATACGAAACATTCAGGTAAGTTAAATGGCCATAAAATGGAGACAAACACCAACAGTGAAAGATCAGAACTGTGAAAATCCAAAGAGAAAATGGTATCGATTTAGCATTAATGTTCCATCTCACTTCCCTCTCTGCTTTTAACACATGATTATGAAGGTTCAGTGCTTGTAATCAAAGGTTCTCTGATTGTTAAAGGGACACTGTCAGCCTACTGAAGCCTTCACGTATATGTCCTTAAATAGTAATATCTACTGTTCTACAAAACTTCTCTTCCTGAAGAATGCCTCACATCACATTAACAACTACTCTCACTACCCACCACTGAAACGCAGCCATCTCTGGGGAGGGATGTGTCAGTCCTTCAACACTGTTTAACACCAGAACATCACATAACAGTTTAAAAGGGAAAGACGCATACTATATCCAACTGAAATAACAAGAGGCAGGTCATGAGTGATAAATATATGCTGCCTAATCAGAACTGGCCAGAATGTAATGGTCAGCACTTCTACCTTTGCGTCATGGGATTGTTCCTGACCACAAAAGGCTAGGCAGTATACAAATGTGAAGTTAAATTAATTTAGATTCAATACACAAAGTAACTTTACATTTAACAGATAGCTAGAATGGGGGTTACTGGTATCTAATCCTTAGAATTACTCATCAGGTTTTTGTTTAATTTTAGTATATTACTTTAATAGGTTTCATATTAGTTGTACATGCGCATAACATCAAGTTATTCAAATTCACTCACACTTTTTTATTGTAAAACAAAGACAAAACAAGATTGAGGGTCTCTCTAAAATTACCCAACAGGAAACAAGAAAAATATTGTATTGTAAGTGACATCTGTAATATGGACTTTTTTTTGGGGGGGGGGGGTCTTAATGTTCTGGGTAAAAACACATTTACGCAAAATAGCTGCTTTTGCCCCATCATGCTGCTTTCTCTGATAAGATTTCCATTTTCTAGTCAGATATGCTATAAAAATTGTATTATCCAATTTTGAGTTCAGTTTACCTCACAATTCATTTCTAATACAGTGTACAGTATCAAAAGAACAGAAGGAAATGTTCCACAGTGTACAGTATCAAAAGAACAGAAGGAAATGATGCTTAAATCAATGTATGATACAAGATGCTCTCAACTTTGCTTTCTTTGAATTTACATATTTTATGATCTTGAAAAGATACCAGGAACCTCCATCAAAGCCAGAAATCATTTTTATTCTGCTTTAATATACACGTCTACCCCGATATAATGGTGTCCTCAGGAGCCAAAAAATCTTACCACGTTATAGGTGAAACCGCGTTATATCGAAATTTGATCCACCGGAGTGCGCAGCCCCGCGCCCCTGGAGCACTGCTTTACCGCGTTATATCCAAATTCGTGTTATATCGGGGTAGAGGTGTACTGAAAAATTAGTAATAATTCTTTACATGCACGTAGAACCCTTCATTATAAAGGATCCCAATTCATTTAATAAATTGTAACCTGAGCTCTGTTCACTTCTATGTAGGTACTTACATGGCCCTTATCAGTAGAGCTGGGCGAATAATTATTGATCAGTTCACCGGCAGTTCCAAAAAACAAACAAAATAAATTTGGGTCTGCTTGAATTTGGAAACTCCAAAAGACTTTGGTGAATTGAAAAAGTCTGTTTTGGGTCGAAGGAAACATTTTGTTTCTAGATGCCTTTAAAAGGAGGAAGTAGGGATGATGGTGCCACCCTCCTTAGAAGCATTAACCTAGTAGTTAGGGCACTCTCCTGGGATGTGGGGGAGAGACATTCAGTTCCCTCCTAATCCTGATATGGAGAAGTGATTTGAACTTGGGTGCCCCACATTGCAGAAGAGTGCCCTAACCACTTGGCTGCATAGTCATTCTCATTCTCTATCTTTGTCCCAACCTCCAATGACTAATTATTTATACGAAGTGGAACCACTTCAACAGGAGAGACTGAGAAAGACCCACTCCAGATTATCCAATAGCCCCAGGAGTAAGGGAACTTTTCTGCTGTATGTGAGATCCAAGTTTAAATCCCTTCTTCAAATCAGATAGAGGGGGCAATTGAACCTGACTCCTATTTCATCTCTTAGGTGACTGACTGAGCTAACCTTTACAAGGCATGCACTACCACTGTCTCATCCTCCAGCCATTTTGTGAATGGCATCTCAATCCTGAAAACAAAGATTTTGGCTGAAACTATTCAGCAATTTCATGTCAAATTTGCAACATTTTGGTTTACTATTCACCAAAAAAACCTATAAAAATAAAAATTGCCCAGTTCTACTTATCGGTACAGTAGCTGGGCACTCAAGTGTTCGTTTCTCAATGGGACTATTCCTGCAAGTCAGGCTAGTAGGATACAGGAATGTAGGACATCACTGAAATGCAGCCACTTGTGAGATGGAAGACAGCAATCAACTCCCACCCAGCACGCTGTACATTAGTGGAGAGCGGGGAAATTTTTACCAGGTGACTAGGAAAATGTCCTGCTCTTCTGAAGAGTGCCATGGCATCTTGAATGTCAAAAAGAGAAAGCAGGAAAATAGTAGCTAGTGTTTAACATTTTTCTCAGTCCTGCTGATGTACTAGATAAAAGGACAAGCATGTTGCTGGTAGTGTGTGCTGCTACATAAGAGAGTCATATTCAGTGTCCAGGTCCACACACTCACTACTGAAGTTGAATGGGCAGCACTTTCCATCACTTTGTGACAAGTTACAACTTGTGTTGCTCTGCTGCAAACTTCCTGGCTACTTATGCAGCATCATGGATGCATCTCCAGGGGGAAGGTCTGTTCACTGCTTTGAAGGAAGATCACTGCAAAACACAATGGAGGAGAAAATGGGAGGAATTATTGGAAAAGAAATACTGGGTGGATAACAAAATTCTGTATAGCCAGTGCTGACTTCTGATGACAGAAAAGAGAATGGGGCAAAATCTGGCCAGTGTAGGGGAAGTGGCATAACTGTCCCCAAGGAAGCACAAAAACATACTGGAAAAGCAGCAGCAAAAATTTTTGTAGGGACTGCGTACAGGATCATATATTCAATACCCCACCCCCATAACTCCCAACTCTGGAATGTTCCTCTCTGGTGCCTGCCAGAGCGGGTCTAGACAAACCAGGATAGGGAACATATTTCTGCCCGTGCTCTTTTGATTGGCCACAGTGCTATGCCTAGCACCTGCCAGGATTTAAGTTTATGTTGATAACATTTCAATTACTTGGTGTATCTTTATTCCCACTCCTCTAATCATAAAAAGTGCTGGTTAGTTTGTCATCTCTCTAAATCCTGTATCCTACATCATTCAGAAATTCCATTTGGTCAGGCTCCAGTTACACACAATCACTATTCATAGAGACGTGTTTGAAACTTTATATTTGATATTCCTAATTTCATACTGTATGCTGATTGGGGTAGGGACCACTCTATCTTTTATATTTGTCCAGCATGCTGTGCTCAAGAAATAAGTTTTTCCTCTTGGGATGAAACTGGAGCACATTTTTCCTGTATCCTTAGATCCTATACAAACTCTCTCTCTTCAGACCTTTTATTGTGTTAAGTGTTGCAAATGCAAATAAATAAAGCAATGATCGAGATGAAAAACACACTAACCTTTTATTTTTTCCACACAAACCTCATAGGCAAATTTGCAAGAGCGAAATGACCCTCCACAGCTGCTGTTAGACTACAAATATATGTTCCCAGTTTTGTTTCCGTTCAGCCCATCCTCCATAACCATGGACTCTATTCACATCCCTGCTTCTCTCAACTTGGAATTTCTCAATGAAGTCTGAAGAAAATGTCTTCAAACCGGTCCCCCTTCGCCAGAGAATTCAAGCAAAAAAAAAAAAAGAAAGATCTTTTTAATGTGGACCAAACAAGATTATGGAAGAACCAATACACAGTAATCAGCTAGTGTTAAACTTTATACTATAGTAAGAAACTGATCTTGTATGTGATTTTTTTTTTTGTAACTTGCAGCTCAAAATAAGAATTCTTGAAATACAGAATTTTTTTACTGCTTGATTTCATGTTGAAATAGCGCAAAGCCCATAGCAGAGTCTCCAACAGATATGAACAGCAAACACTGGGCAAGTGGGAGATGGTTAATTTGGTCTTCATAAGGGGCTATGAAGAAACTCCAGATAAAAATCAAAGTCAAAACACTGTCTTCAGAAAAACGATGGCATTGATAAGGTGGTTTGTACATATTAATGCATTTCTATGCCGAGATACAATTTCACATTTGTTCCTGTTGCTAGTCACTGTATCACAATAGTCAATTCAGGAATGTAAGTTGCAAAATGTGCAAATAAGTGTTCATCACACAGGTTAAGGTGACAGACTGAAAACTATGCTTGTTTTCACCAAGGTGGATTTCATTTGTCAGTAAGTCAGAATTCCTGAAAGTCACCATTGCTCTACAGGTTTTTAATACCTTACATAATTATGGAGGGCAGTAGCTGTTTCCATGGGCTGATATAGCCAGTACCAGAATCCATGTAACAAAATTATACCTACACCCATGGACGTCCCTAGGGGGGTTTCGGGCCCGGGACATAGGCGCCGAGTTTCTAATCTGTCAAGGGGTGCTCCCTCTGGCTCCGTCCCCACTCCACCCCTTCCCCCAAGGTACCGCCTATTCCTGCCCCGCCTCTTCCCCGCCCAGTTTCGCTCCTCTCCCCTCCCCCCCAGCACTTCCTGACGCCGTGAAATAACTGATCCATGGTAGGCGCTGAGAAGCAGGGGCAGGTGCTGGAGGGAGGGGGAGGTTCTGGTAGGGGGGCTGCCAGTGGCTGCTGCTCGCCTCATTACCGCCCCCCCCCACGCCCGCTGCTCTCCTCCTCGCTGTCTGCCCGCGCGCCTGCCTCCTCATCCCCTTCCTGCCTGCCGCTCACCTCCCCATTTGCCCTCTGACCCTGCTTGCCCTCCTGCCTCACCTCCCTACCCGCCTCCTCACGATTTTATGGAAGCGCGGGGCAGGGGCGGTCGCCCCGATTAGCCATACCCAAGGGATGGCTCTGCCTACACCATTCTATAACTTATGGCATTTTTCATATGTCTGGATAACACATGTAAATCCAGTCTAGTTAAATGAAGTTCCTGATCCTGCTCACACTGTGTGAAATCCTAGCCCTACTTAAGTCAGTGGAAAAACTCCAATTGACTTAGACAGGGTCAGAATTTTACCCATTGAATTCAATAGCAATACTTCTATTGATCAGTGGTGCAGCTTCAGGGCCTAAGCTAACAAAAGGAATACTAGCAATAATTTAATTCACAGTGTTTTAAAGCAAAAGAGAATGGGTAAGAAATTGAATGACTATGTCCATGTCTATACTAGCACTTATGTCGGCAAAACTTTTGTCGCTGAGGGGTGTGAAAAAAAGACCTCCCTGAGCGACATAAATTTTGCCGGCACAAGCACTCGTGTGCACGGCGCTATGTTGGCAGGAGACGCTCTCCCGCTGACATAGCTACCGCCGCTCACTGAGCTGGTTTTATTATATTGACAGGAGAACTCTCTCCTGTTGTCATAACACAGCTAAATAAGTGCTCTTACAGCGGCATAGCTGTATTGATACAGCTGTGCCGCTGTAAGCTTGTAAGTGTAGACATGGCCCTACTCAAAAATCCTACAACTAGTATTTTGATAACCCAAAGCACTTTGTAACAGAACCCAGATGTCAACAATAATCTTAAATTCCGATCAGAATAATGAATTAAAACCTGTCAAGAAGTTATCAGATAAAATCACTTGAATTGTAATCCAATAGGATTTTTTGAAATCCTTATTAATATAAAAAGTTCCCTCTTCCTCACTATTCAGGAATTAAAATGGGTCTGCTATTCCCAAAGCATTTATTGATCATTCTCAGTACTTGCCAGAATCTATTTAATTCCCAGTAGTCATAAGAAATGCTATCCTCGCTAGAAGAAAATGGCATCTAAAGGTAGACAGTGCCATATAACAGCAATGATTGTATTAATTTGTGGTGGGGCATGCTTGCAAATTATGACCTTTGCAGTTTTAAGGTCACAACACTTTTGCAGTTCTAACTTTCCAGGCTGCAAAATGCAATGGGGATATTTGTCACTTGCAAAAGGCCCAATCTTTTGCAAATCATGAACATGTAGGCCTGTTCACCTCCATAACGGTCCTGCCTAAGAAAATCTTGATTTCTTTGCATTTATTGCTATGGTTCTTACAGTGTCTCGGCAGTTCCATGATGACAAAGTGCTTTTTAGAAAAACCTATCTGCATTTTTCAGACTATTTTTAGTTGCTGTAAATCTCCAAATAGCAAATTTATGATTAGGTATCCAATTATCCCAGAACATGAGAATCTCTTAGACATACACTACGCCCCAAACACAACATACCATGGTCACCTTTTAGACAAGGAGTGTGTCTTGATTTAGACATTATGTATATAATCTATGTATATACACATGCTATAATAGTCCTGTATATGTATATTGCTATAAAAAGCAAATGTTAAAGAAATGAGTGCTAGTAAGAGTTATATTGGACTATGTCTACAGTAAAAGTACATGCGCTCAAACAAAAGACTCTGGTTTAGCATAGCTATTACCAGTGAAGGATATAATTAAGCCAATTCACAATGAAGGAGGAATCTTTTCCTAGAACCAGTGCCCATAATAGAGAATAGCAGAACATTTATTGCCTGCACAATACCAGCACTACCTCCAAACTACACTCCTTGATCATTTGCATCTATTGTATGTATTCAGTAATGCCTTCATTTTCTTCCCATTTACAGTCTCAATCACACTACATGTTGGCTGCAGCTCAGAAAACCTGCTTTCTTGCTCTTCTCAGTGTCAAATGCCTGTCTAAAGTAGTATTTTTTATTATAGCTACCTCTTCCTCTACAATATTTCTTCAAAGCATATGTTAAATTTTTCACTGCATTTTATTTTTCAATTAAATCCTATGTTTCTCCTGCTGTGAACCCATCTTCACACTAAAGAAAAATAATCTAAAGCAAAACTTAGTCCGGTGAGATGGTTACACAGATGCTATCCTCACAACTCATCTTATGCCGGCAGTTTCCTCTCAGGCTCTTCGGGTCTCTACCTCTCTCTAATGTTGTGAATTATTCACTGTACGATTCCAACAGGATTCACCAAACTTAATGCTTATTAATCAGACTAAATTAAAGAGAGCTGCAGAATCCTCTTCCACAATGGTCTTGTTACTAATCACAGGTGTAAAATGTGGTTAATGTTCTTCAAAGGGATAATGGTATTTCACTGGGAGCTGTAAGGAACTTAATTTATATGTATTATAAAAAGAATCTCTTACAAACCATTAGTATTGAAATAGATAGGAACTGGGTATTTAATGTTTTGATGTGTAATAATTAAACTTATTCACTAAGCTGCATTTGGAAAAGGATTCTGCAGAAAATATCTTTAATGTACATGATCTTTTCTGTTAGCAATTTTTAAAATATCTGGTTTAATTCAGTTGTATTATCATGCTCAAATAGGCCTTTTTCCCTCAAAAATCTGCAATGTCTTTACATTAAAAAAATACAAAAATGTTAAATGTAAAAGCACGGCTTTTGGAAAACTTTACTTTTCAGATTTGTTTTTAATATTGATGACTAAGACAAGCACTTTCCCACTGTGTGCCTTTAGCTGTTACTAAGATAACTGTGACTTCTCAATGTCTCTCTGAAAAAGTGTTAAACTGTGGGAAAATTTTACTGTCATATCATAAAGTCCGTAGATTCAGAAGTTCTCTTATAAAGCATTACATTACACTGAGAAGGTTTGCAAAAATGTTTTTAATCTCATCGCATTTTTTTCCATGCATTGTACTTCTATGGGTATGATTGGGACTAGCCCTCTAATCTCCAAGGAAATATATACTATATGTAATATAAAAATAATCAACACTGACTATAACCATAAACTTGACTTCATGCATGCATTCTGTGCTGTGTAGTCCATGTTCAAGACACTTCCACAACATCCAGGACATAACTTCCAAAAGTTTTATTTTAGTTTGAAACTGGCTTCAGTTTCTTTTCAATTGTATTTTTGTAGCCGCTCTTGTTGATCTTTCACAGCTACTGTAAATTTACACTAAGAGCTTGGGGAAAGGAACATCAGCCATCAAAGCTCAAAACTGAATTGTGCAACCCTTGCCTGTGCAAAAAAAAAATCCTCATTCAATTACATCATGGAATCCACTGGAAGTAATCATAAGTGAGAATTTCTCACGTGAGCAAGGATGGCAAGATTGTATACCTAGATCCTGCAACCATACACATAAATAACTTTGTGAGTAGTCCCATTGTAGTCAATATACCTGATTCTCCACTCTATTAGCTGTAAGACCAATAATAATAGTGGAGAATCAAACCCAATCTGACTGATCACATGAGTAAAATTACTCACGTGTAAGTGTTCACAAGATTTCACCCTCAATTTGTACAGCCCAAGAGAACTGCAAAAGGTTTAAGTGACATTAATGATAAAACACTTGTAATAATAGGTCATATTTCTTTTCCACTCAGCCTATTATCTGACTATGTAAATTTATTCTTGTCAGATTAAAATTGTTGCGGACAGTGTGCAGAATTAACATTTCCTAACTGCACTTAAATGTGCCAATATAATTAAAGTATATTGCATGAACCACCATAAACCTTCTCTTCCAACCTTATTGAATTACATAAAGTACAACCATAACTGAAAATTATTTTCTTTCTGAAATTATAGAAGAGTAAATGTTAAAGTGTAACAATTTGGAAAATATTTTTCCCTTCAAAAGTATAGAATTTATTTTTTAAAAACTGCAAATGTCAGAAAATAGATCTTGAAACGAAACTGAAATTTAAACAATCAAACTCTGTCCAAAAATGTGCTACAGTCCAAGTCCTATTTTTTGTGTGTGAAGTCTCATTACCTTAACAAGCAGAAGGTGCAGCTGTTCTGAAGGAGTTTGAATGCTATTCAGGGGGTGAACCCTGAATGTAGATGATATACTACTGCTGATAAAATATTTTTCCATTTTGAACAAATCTGTAAACTACACCTTTGTTTATAGGAAAATGCTTGTAATAGTTACTGTAATATTCAGCTGTGGATAAAAATTTGTGAAATAAATACTTTTGAATAAATTAAATTGTGACTTTTTGGACAAAACTGAAAATGTAATATTATTTTGCATTTCAACAATAGCTTCCATCTTAATTGCAAAGCACTTTACAAACATTAAAATGATCAATCCTGAAAGCTTTTACTTAGGATTATGAGCATCTAAGGGTCTGCTCCAAAGCCCAATGAAATTAATGGAAGTGACTTCAATAGGGTTTGAGTACTGTACACTACTAACAAACATGTTAAGAACTGCCTGGCACTGAGCCTCAGTACTTCCCTGTAAAGTATCATCATCATCTTTAACCGAGGGAGCAAATGAAGCACAGAGAGATTGAGACTTGCCCAAGAAACTCAAGTCAGTGCTGGGAATAGAATCCAGGCTCATGACTCTCAGCCCTACTCTTTTAACCACAAAACTCAACCTTCCTCTTCTCTTCAGAACATTGTTCCTATCAGAAATTTGGCTGGACAGGTAACATGAGCCATTTGTGTACTCTGTCATTTCTATCCTTTGTGGTGATAGGCCCAATTAGATAGCACAGGTGTAGGTGAGAGCAGAATTTGGCCTAGTATAATTAAGAAGGAAGAAGTTACTCACCTTGTGCAGTCCGTCCTGCCTGCACATGCACCACTCCCCACCTGCCATGAGGCTAGCCAGCATGTGCGGGCATTTCTCCCTCAGTACCTTCTCTACTGTAGAGTCAACAAGTGGAACTCCGAAGTAGAGGGCAGGAGGGGGGGTTGTGGAGCACCCACAGGGACACACATCTCGAAGAACATCGTTACTACACAAGGTGAGTAACTTCTTCGAGTAGTAGTGTCCCTATTGGAGCTCCAATGTAGGTGACTCCTGAGCAGTACCCACTGCTGGAGGCTGGGACTTCGGAGTCGAGTCTGATACAAATGATAGTACAGAGGCCCCGAATTGGGCGTCTGAAGCCAAATCACTCAGAATGGCATAGAATTCTGGGAAGGTATTTGCGGATGCCCATGTAGTTGCTCTGCATACCTCTGATATGGGGATACCCTTAGAGAAGACATTTGATGAGAAGACCAACTTTGTGGAATGCGTGAGTACTGAAGATGGGGGTACTACCCCCCCATAATTGGTAGCAGAGTTTAATACAGTCAGAGACCCACCTGAAGAGCCTCTGAGCTGAGATCACTGCATCTTTTGACCTTTACACAACAGAAAGGAAGAGCCTCAGAGATTTTTGGAAGGCTTTTGTCCTGAGTAGAAGGCCAAAGCTCTCCTCACATCAAGCGTATGGAGGATGACCTCTCTGTTATCTGTATGAGGTTTTGGATAGGATGTTGGGAGTTGAATGAGTTGATTCATGTGAAATGCAGAAGTTATTTTCAGAGTGAACTTCGGGTGCAGTCTGAGTGTGACCTTCTCCAGGAAGAAGGCCGTAAAAGGGGGATGTACCTCAAAGCTGCTATCTCCCCTATCCTTCTGGCAGAAGTGATGGCAATGAGGAACGCTGTCTTCCTGGAAAGGTGAGTTAACAAGCAAGTGGCCATGGGTTCAAATGGTGGTCTAGTCAGGCCCTTTAACATTAGGTTGAGGTCCCACTGCAGAGTGGGGCCTGGG